TTACAGTAAATTCGTTTTAACACTAAGAGGAGAAAAAAAATTGAATTTGAATAAAGAATACTACGTTCTTGAAAATGGTGGAACAGCTTATGTTTTCTCCGTAAACGGAAAAATAGAGAGCATACAACATTATGCATTTGATGCCCCAGTAATATTAAATTCTGTACAGTATAAATACCATGAATTAATAGGTAAAACTTTTCAGAAAGGTGATAAGATTTCATTTAAATTAGGCACTCATCCCAACGTATTGGTGCATATAACTATCCAATGTCCTTTAGAAAAAAATGTCTAAAAGTCAAGTAATTGAAGAAATACATAGACCAGCGAGAAAAAATTATAGAAGAAGACATGTAATCATAAAAGGGTTAAACGATTTGGTTCAAGCAGATTTAGCCGTAATGATTCCTTATGCCAAAGTGAATAAGGGATACCAATATATTCTTGTTGTTATAAATGCATTTAGCAAATTTGTGTGGGCAGAACCTGTTAAAAGAAAAACGGGAATTGAGATAACTAAAGCAATGGAAAAAATTTTGAATCAAATGAAAACATTTCCAAAAAACCTTCAAACAGATTTGGGAACTGAATTTTATAACTCACACTTTGGCAAGCTTATGAGGTCACTTGGTATTAACCACTACAGTACTTTCTCAAATCTTAAAGCAAGTATCGCGGAAAGAGTAATAAGAACAATAAAGTCAATGTTGTGGAAACAGTTTAGTTTACAAGGGTCTTATAAATGGCTAACCAATCTTTCTGATATTGTAAAATATTACAATAATACTAAACATTCAACTACAGGTTTTGCACCTAGCCAAGTTAATGAAAAAAATGCCAGGAATATAACTGCCTATAATTACCTTAAAACCATTGATCCCAGGAAACGTAAATTAAAAGTTGGTGATTACGTCAGAATTTCAAAACATAGGAGTTTGTTTACTAAGGGTTATTTGCCCAACTGGACAAATGAGATTTTTAGAATAATAAAAGTTAAGCAAAACCATGTTGAAGATTCACGAAAAGAAGAAATTCAAGGTGCTTTTTACAGCGAAGAATTACAAAAAACCCGGTTTCCTGATATTTATTTAGTGGAGAAGGTGTTGAGGAGGAAAGGCAACAAGGTATATGTAAAATGGATGGGAATGAATAGTTCTCATAATTCTTGGATTAACAAAAATAATGTAATAAATTAAAACAGTGTAATAAATTAAAATATATTTTTTAAAAATGTCTTTTATTTTTATTCTATATATTACAAAGTTCCTTATCAAAATTTGTCCTAATACTAGTGAAACAAGTAAAAAAACTTTTTATGATTGTATTTTATTTCTATGTGTTATTTCTAGTACAGGATTAATAATTCTAGCGGTTTCATGTATCCTACGTCGGAATCTCATTCTGTCAGCAACCATGAATTCCCAGTATCTGGTTCTGCATGGACAATTGGCTTCAACGTAGTGAATACGAACATTTTCGTTAAATTTGACCATTGAATAGTCCAGGGTATCTGTAGAGTAACTCTAAAGCCATTCCATAAGTCACCTTATTTATATTTTTGATTGGCTCCATAATCTTAAGCCCGGATTCAATCGGGTTGTTGGAATCCACCCCTAGCTTTAATATTTCTAGGGAGTTGGTAAATTCTTCCTTCTTTAGGGATTCTAAATGGTAATTAAGAAGCGGTAGTATTTTCCATATTGATGCGATAGAATTAGCACCCAAAATGATTTGTGATTCTCCTTTGGTAATTTTTACAACTAACATGCATGGAAGATGCATAAATTCTAGCAGAAAATTTTCATCTTTGATTGGTTGTTGGTGATTTCCTGCCATAAAATTATCGATCTCATTTTTATGGGATAAAAAGTTGATCCAATCGGTTTGACTAAATAATACACAATCATGTTTGTATCCACTGATAATAACACTTGGTTCAAAGTTGAATTCGTGGGCTAAACAGATGGACACATACTTGGTGTTTGATGGATTTAAGTAAAACCGACGTTCACTTATAAACACGTTAGACATCAGCACTTTACCACTCATTGTTAAAGACTAAATAACACATACACAACACAGGGCTTCTTATACCCCTTTGCACGTGTTCACATATCTGAAAGGTGTATGTAAATTTAAGAGCACATGGGGGACAGCTGTATGCAAAATACGGAGAACAGGTGCACCAAACCGTTGTGCTCCGGTGCGCAAACAGGTACGCAAACAGGTGCGGAACAGGTGATTGACAGGTGGCGTGCTCGTGCTCCGCTGCTCATCCGCTATTTCTACCCTACTCACGTAAGAATTTAAATAGTCGTTGTAAAGAGATGGTAATACTTTTGCAATAATTATGTAATCTATTTGATTTAAAATAGAGTCAGGATTTTTTTATACTTTGGCAACTATGTCAACTTCGATCTCTGACGTAGATAATGACGTAAGTCATTATCTAAATTAGATGAAGTATATGTATTTAATGAATGTTAGTAATTTGAATTTTAGTTAGAAATGAGTTCAGAATTTATTAAGTGACGGACTCTTTACAACACAACACCACACAACACAACACAACACAACACAACGCAACGGAACCCAACACAACACAACAAACAAAACAAAACCGAAACGAAATGGAACGAACCGAAACAGAACGAAACGAACCCCTAACGAAACGAAACATTACTAAGTAGAATAACAAAGAGCAATATAGGTAATTTTTTTTAAATACCATTCTAACTTTTAGCATCCACCCATAGCATTTTCTTTCCTAATTCGCTTGCAACATTTAATAAACTCAATATTATCTATCTCACTCCTATATTCAATGAAAGTACATTTCAACCAACAACAACAATTTACATAATCACAATTTCGTAACTACATACGCTTGCAAATTCGATACATTTAACTAGCAATAAATTAAAATTTTTTCCCCTGCGCAGTTCTTTCTTAGTGACCTTATAATTTATTCCACAACTACTCATTACTATTTTTAAATAAATCCATTAACATAATGGCCCATTAAGATATTTTCAGTCTACTAATGACCCAACCACTAACATAAATTAAACAATTTTTTATTGATTGGACATATTTAGAAATTAACGTTATTTTCCTAATATTAAAACTCAAGAGCAAATTGTTATTTTTAAAAAATTTATATTTAATCTATTATTAAATATTTTGTTTATTAAAAACGTTTGTATAAGATCTATAATTGCCTCAGGCTTGAAAGTGAATTTATTCTTACATATTGTACATGAATATATATATTATTTAGTCTGATGCAATTAGGCAGTTGAATAAAAAAAAACAATTTTTAGATTTATTAAAAGAATACTAGTCGTTTGTATCTAAACGTAACTAGTTACATAATTTTGTGTACAAGAATTGCAAAACTGGTGTTTGATTTTTTTAAAATGAAAAAGTGAACGTAATACATACTTGAAGTAATATTAAAGTAAGCGAGGTTAATTGCATTTCCTATAAATGCACCTAGTTGTGTAACTATATATATAACGATTAGAGAGTAGTTGTTAAATTTTTAAAAATTCAGAAAGTGAACGTAAGAATTTTTATTTTAAGTGCTATTTAAGGCTGCAAATTTTAGTGAAGAAAATAGTTGCAGTCTGAAGTCTGAACAACAAACAAAACAGTTATTTAGTTAGTCGTGTTGGTGCTAATATTATTCTAAAAAACAAAAGTAAGTTATTACTGTTATTATTAAAATTAATTCATTATTATATAATTTATATATATATTTAAAACAAAATTCATTATCACTTGTTAAATATTAATTTACTACCTCTTAACAGACCTTGCTCTTTTTCTATAGGTCTGATCTTTTCTGATTCATTTTTTTGCAGAGAAAACTTTAGCTTTTCTTTGGTTTCTTGTTCTTTTTTTACATTCCTTTACAGGCTGTTATACAATTTTACCTGATTGTTGATTATACTTAATTCGTTTCTATTCTCTATTTTTGTTTTAGTTAGTAATCTTAATTTTATTGAAATCTTCTTTAACATAATCCTTCAATCTGTATTTTGATCTTCCTTAGAATATTTTCTTTTCTAGAATTAGCATACCTTCTTCTCCTCATAGTACATGCCTAAGCTATGTCAGCCTTTGAACTTTTATATATCTGAATTTATTTTTTTCTTCATTCATCTTAATATTTATCTCATTGTTAAATAATCATTTAAACTTTCAGTGTTGTATTTTCTTCTTTTTAGTTCAGACAGATTGTCTCTACTAAGTAGGTTAGACTTTATTTGCATGATTTCATTTATTTTGATGTTTTGTTGATATATATCTACCTTTTTGTCTAATAGTTTTTTTCGTTCTATACATGATTGTTTATTTATTTTAGATGGATCTTAAATTATTAAATTCTGTGTCTATTGTAGACAAATACAAGAAACCGATTATGAAATTACAAGATCTTGTACCTGGACAACGAAATAAAATTTTATCTGCTAAGATTATCTTAAGCAGATTTGGGGAAGCTGTTCTGTTAGAATTTTTGTCACATTTTTGCCGCAGAGGGTAACAACAGAGTACAAACCACTTGTTGAATATTTTGAACCTGGAAAGTACGCAGTTGTGTTCCGGGGAACTGTGGAAGTCGGAAAGCCCCATCCAGCAGTATCATTTGAAATTGTGAAATTTTAAACTGAGTAAGTTACATTTTTAATATGAATAGTAATACGATAGGAAATATAAAAATTGGTAAATGTACTTTATCTAAAGTGGATAAAACCATAAAATTGATTAAAGCTAATAAAACTGAAAAAATATCAATAAAATTAATAAATCAACACATTAAAACATGTAATAAAGTTTTGGAAAAATTTAAATTTTCTGTGGGGGAGAAAAAAAAAATTTTGTCTAAAGTAGGTCATTTAAAAAGAATAAGAGCTTTATTAAAATTGAAGAATAGGAAAGAAGGATTAAAATCACCTAGAAGGATTTGTTGGGAAAACATAAATTCATGCTTTAAGAGTAGAATTCAAACAGGTGTTATTATTAATTTAAAACATAAAGATATCAAAGAATTTTTATCTGATGCGTTTAATTTGTTAAAAGAGAAACTTATAAATATTTTTAAACAAATGTTGGTTGTAAAGGTTAATACTACTTTTTGGGGAGAATTTGTAAGACAGTCAAATGAACAGGAAATAATTGACCACAAACATTTTAATACCCCTAATGTAGTTCTAGACCAAGGGACTAATTTATCAGAATGGTTTCAAGAACATATTGTAGATTATATATTAAATAAAGTAACAGAGTTTTCCGATGAAGGAAGTGGTTGGGCTTTACAGAAAATTTTAATGTTAGAAGTAGCCATAAACAAATATGAAATAGGTAATGGTTCTTGTTTTATTAAAATACCAGCGCAAATAGCCAACAAAAAAGCATGTATAAACATTCAAAATATGGATCATGCTTGTTTTTTCTGGGCTATAGTCAGTGCTTTGTATCCTCCCAAAGGAGATTATAGATTAACGAGTTCATATCCATTTTATAGGCTTGTTTTAAATACAGATGATCTCGAAACACCTATGAAATTAAATCAAATTGCAAAATTTGAAAAATTAAATGATATTTCTGTAAATGTTTATGCTTTGGAGTTAAACGAAACAGAAAAAAAATCCTTTTACGTTGTAGTGCCTGCTAGGTTGACAAAAAAGAAACTAAATCGTCATGTTAATTTGTTATTAATTCAAAATAAATATTTTCCTAAATTAAATGATTATGAGGCAGTTGTAGAAGATAATGAAAATACTGATATTAGGTTTCACTACTGCTGGATTAAAGATCTTTCTAAACTTTTATCCAACCAACTCAGTAAACATCATGGAAAAAAAATTTTTTGTGATCGTTGTCTAAATTATTTTTCAAGCGAGGATAAATTAAAGGACCATATTGTTTTATGTGAAAATCTTAACGACTGTAAAATATCATTTCCAAAATATGATTTTGTGGAATTTAAAAATCATGTATATAAACAGAAAGCACCTTTTATCGTGTATGCTGACATTGAATGTATTTTGGAACCGTGTAATACAAAATTATCTAAAACAACAAAAAGGTATCAAGAACATAAAGCGTTCTCAGCAGGTTATTACCTAAAATGTTCTTACGATAATTCTCTTTCCTATTACAAGAGCTATCAAAATTTAGATTGTATGGAGTGGTTTGCAAGTGAACTTTCAAAAATTGCAAAATTTGTAGAGAGTAAAATGTTGAATATAGAGCCAATGGTGGAACAAAAAAGCACTATTAATGTGTCCACATGCCATATTTGTGAAAAAATATTTAAGGCAAGCGACATTATTGTACGTGATCATGATCATTTTACTGGAAAATTTAGGAACTTTGCCCACCAAGAATGTAATCTTTCTTTCAAAAAATTATTCATAGTGCCAATAATCTATCATAATTTGTCACATTACGACAGTAATTTTATTATAAGAGATATAACAAAACGTGGTCGTGTAAGTGTACTTCCTTTAAACAAAAATAAATATATATCGTTTACACTTTTCGATGATGAAACTAGTATTAAATTTAGATTTATAGATTCTTTTAAATTTATGAGTGCTTGTCTTGATGAACTTGTGACAACATTATCTTTGGATAATTTTGAAAATTTAAAGCATGAATTTAAAGATTTGGACAATAATAAATTTAAACTCTTAACTAAAAAAGGTATTGTTCCTTATGACTATTTGGATGATATAAATAAATTAAATGAAAATCAACTGCCTGTAATTGAAAATTTTTATAGCAAGTTGCATGATTTAGATCTTTGTGCTGAAGATTATACACATGCACAAAATGTATGGCAATCATTTGATATACAAACGCTTGGAGAATATAGTAATTTATACATGAAAACTGATATATTGCTACTTGCAGATGTCATGGAAAATTTTAGAAAAACAGCTTTGAATACCTATGGTTTAGACCCCGCCTGGTATTTTACTATGCCCGGATATACGTGGGATGCTATGCTTAAGTATACAAAATGTAAATTACAAATCTTAAAAGATGTTGACATGGTAATGTTTATAGAAAAAGCAATTCGAGGTGGAATTTCTGTTTGTTGTAACAGATATTCAGAAGCTAACAATAAATATATGTTTAACTATGACCCAACAAAACCTAAAAAGTTTTTGTTATATTTAGATGTAAATAATTTGTATGGATGGGCCATGGCACAATTTTTACCGTATGGTGGGTTTAAATGGGTATCTACAAACATTGATGTGACTACCGTGTCAGACAATTCTCCAGTGGGATATATTCTAGTTGATTTAGAATATCCCCAAGAATTACATGATCTTCATAAAGATTTTCCATTTTGTGCTGAACATTCTGTTCCACCGTCATCAAAATTACCAAAATTAATAGCTAATTTACATAATAAAAAAAATTATGTACTACATTATAGAAATTTAAAACAAGCTATAGCACACGGTTTGGTGTTAACAAAAATACATAAAGTTTTACAATTTAATCAATCAGCTTGGTTAAAACCTTACATCCAGCTTAATACTGATTTGAGGGCCAAAGCTACTACAAACTTTCAAAAGAATCAGTTCAAAAATGCTAATAATTGTGTTTTCTGCAAAACAATGGAGAATATTCGACACCATAGGTTAGTTAAATTAGTCAAAAATTGGAATGGTCGTTATGGAGCCAAAAATTTAATTGCTAGCCCAAGATTTCTTAACAGAACAGTTTTTGATGATGATTTTATGGCCATTGAATTAAAGAAAGCTGAGCTAATTTTTAATAAACCTTTGTACATTGGAATGTCAATTTTAGATATTTCAAAAACTTGTATGTATGAATTTCACTACAACTTTATGTTACCCACAGTCGGAGTTGAAGATTGCAAGCTAATGTATACTGATACTGACAGTTTTATTTATGAATTGGCTTGTGATGATGTATATAATGATATAATTTACAAAAACTTGGCTAAATTTGACACATCAGACTATGATGAAAATAATGTCTTTAAAATTCCATTAGCCAATAAAAAAATACCCGGTTTAATGAAGGATGAAGCTAATGGCAAAATAATGACACATTTCGCCGGACTTCGTTCAAAGATGTATTCCTACAAAATACAAGTAACTAAGGAGGAGATAGAACTCTTAAGAAAAAAGCTGGTGAAGAAAGGCTTTAACAAAAAACGTATTGCTGGTAAACTTAGAAATATAGGTATTGGAAAAAAATCTAAAGGTATTAAAAAGACTGTTGTTAAAAATAAAATTACATTTGAGGATTATGTTAATTGCCTTAAAGATTTTAAAGAAAAAATTGTAACCCAACAAAGTATTTGTTCTTATGCGCATAAGGTTTTTAGTATAGAACAAACAAAAATTGCATTAAGTCCTTTTGATGACAAACGTCGGTTAATTCCTAGTTCATTTGACACATTTCCATGGGGACATTATAGTGAATAACAATTATATTTTTTTGTTTTAGAACAAATATGTCTCTGCAAGAGCTTTGCATTAAAACTATTTGTGAAAGTGTTAGCAATATATGTGACTTTCTCTACATATGTCCTCTTGAATCACCTGTGGGTATGGAAATTTGTCAAAAGTATGCTATGTACAAATTTGATAAATTAGTAAGAGATAATGTAGTGTCCTATGAAGCAGACTTAGGGCGTGTTTCTTACCGTGAGGAATCATGTAAAGATTGCTTTTCTAAAGCTAATAAATATGTAGCAACTTCAAAATTTGTAAACTTTAATGAATACAATCTAAATTTTTGTTTTGATTGTGCACGTGATTTTGATAAAATGTTAAGAATGCTTTACATATTTCCTACATACAAGCACATTGAGTCAAGTAAAATCTATACTACAACTAATATATCTGAACTTTTCTATAATAGAAATTCCCGATGTCAAAATTCATTTGATCATTTTCTATTTACTATACACACAGTCTACGACTGCAACTGCATTGAGAAAAGTATGTTACTACAAGAAATTTGTCTTAAAAATATTTGTCAGAATATTAAAAGTATTAGTGAATTTGCAAATGTGTCATTGCTTCCTTGGAGACTAACTCTCGAAATTTTAAAAAAGTATGTTAAATACAGAATTGAAAAACTAAATACAGGTTATAAACTAATTAATTTACAATACTCTTGTTCAACAGAACTATTAAGACATAAAAAAAGAAAACACGAATGTCAGGTGTGGTGTGTTTCATCCAATTATTTTCAAGTTTTAGATTATGATCTGAATTTATGTTTTAATTGTTTCAAAATATTTTATCAAGGATTAAAATCAAACGGTAAAAATTGTAAATACACACAAATTATTTCAAAAGAAACTTTATACAGAAATCAATTAAACGTTAATATTTGTAACAAAAAGTTAATCTGTCAGAATGAGTTTAATCATTTTTTGTTTACTTGGAAATGTGAGTATTTATGTAATTGTGGTTCCTGTATCTTTCCCTCAGTATATTCTCAACTCACTCTGCCTCCTCAATTTTATTCACTTTAATAAATTACTGAATGTTATTTCTTATATTATTACTTTAATTAAAAATGTAGCTTAATCATTAGAGAGTATAATTAGTATTATATTATTATCTTTAATATTATTGCCTATAATTATTGTAGTTGGTTTTGGATAAAATAAAAAACAGTTTATAAAAGATTTATTTTATTATTATTATTCATACAAAATATCTTTATTACAATTGTACAATGCCTATTTTACAAAAATGACATCTTGATTGTGATGTTGGTGGCCCATCTACATGATTCTGCCATTCAGGACGATTATAATGAACAAAGCATGGTAACTGAACTTGCAATTCAAAATTGTTTCGATAATCTTGTGGAAGCTTGTTCCACACATGTAAAAGTTCAACTGGTGAAGCTGCTTGAATTAAATAGTCCAAATCCTGTTCTGAAAATTGATATAGGCTTCGTTTGTAGTGCCAGTGTTCTCGTAGTGGATAAACACAAGAACAATTTTCTTGTGACATTGTGTATTGAAAATATAGCACTATCAATAGAGACAATCTTGCACGAATAAAATATCTATACTGAATAAATTTGTCTTTCTCCTTTGTTTTTATAAAGTATTGTGGTGGGGTTAATCAATACTTTGTTTACATGCTTTACAACAAGTCATGACTTGTTTTGTTTTAGGGTGTATATTTGGTTAAAGAAAACATTATAACATACAATATGTATATTTAGATCTTTATTATTATTCATCCATTAAACAATTTTTATATAAAAAAAATACATTTGATAAAGCACACATACATTTATTATTATCATTATGATAAAAGCACATTGGTTGGGTTAGTTCCAATTTTGGTTGTTCGTCGAGTTCATAAATTTTGGATGTACAGTATTTCATGATGACATCAGCTTTTTCTTTTCCTTTAACAAAAACCATGTCTGCATTTTTGGTTAGATATTTTATTATATTTCCAAGGTGATATAGATGTGTGAAACCGGCATCCCATTCAATACTATGATGATTTTTAATTAACCATTTTGCTTGATGTTGTAAATCAGAAGGAAGACAATGAAACGGAAATGGAGGTTTGAATAAATAATGACTGACTCGTTGACCATCAAAACATGCTAATTCCTTGACTATAAATTTATTATTTTCCATTTTAAAACCTTGAATATCTATAATTACCTTCATATTGTAAGATGTTGTAGTTTTTTCAAAACCAATTTTTTCTTTTCAAAATATAAAATTTCTGCTTTTAGTTTTGATAATTCACAGATGAACAGATGTAATTTACGTCTATACTCTTCCAACATTGGTGAATAACTGTTTATTGTCGTACAATTTTGGTTAAAGGATTATAATAGAATTCTTTTTCATGTAAAATAAGACAGTAAGCTGACACGTCATTTCCAGTACTTTGAGAAGTTTCAAATTCTATTCGCAAAACAACAGATCCACTTTGAATAATTTCTTTTTGGTGTGAACAATCAATGTGAATGACTGGAGCTGAATCTTTGAATTCTTTTGGGTTGAATATTGGTTGATTTGTTTTTATGTGGTAGTAACTTTCTTGAAAATTAGCATACATTTCGTATAGGGTTGCAAAGCGATTACTGTTAAAATCCAAGTTTAAGTCTTGATATGGAAATCTTTCACTGTTTAGAAATACTCGTATGTTTGTTAAGTGGCAATGATCAAATTTGCTCATATCCTTTAAAATATTTCCTTTACGACCTTTCTGAAATGCAACTATAATATGTCGAGGACTTTCTAATTTTGTTGAAGTCTTAACAGGCCAAGTATGACGAGTTGAATCATTCAAAGTAGGATATTCTATTAATTCCCAACTTCTAAATTTAATAGGTAGTTCTGTGTTACTGCGAATTATTTTATTTAACCGTAGCTGCTCCTTGATACTTGGTGTTATGTGTGGTACATTCCAATATAATTTAGTGATTTTGATTTTTGGCTTTTCCGTATTGTCGCTTGCAATTATAGCATCGTTGTCGTCTTTTTCTCGAATAAGAATCAATTCTTGCCTCATATTTATTACAATTTTTTGAAAATCTTCAAAAAACCCAGACAGATATTTTAAAGGAATAGAGAGATTAAAATTTCCTCTGTTGTCAATTAACACTTTATCGTTTCCATCTTTTGGAAACCATCCTCCGTTTTGCATCAATTTACTTTCATTTTCGTTTAAAGACAAATAATTTTTCAAAGTGGAAACCAAACCTACATTTCGTACTGCATCTATTACTACTCCATTCAATTCATATCTAAGTTCTCTAAACAAATATGCAATTCCATTATTAATTAAACTAAATTTTGTTGGTAAGTTGTCTGCTTCAGTTTGCAATACTCCTTCAATGTAAAGTACAGAGTTACATGGTAGCGTAAATGAGTCCAATTCTTGCACGCAAATTCTATGTTCATCGTTATAGTTGAAAGACGTTGAATTGTATGGTTGATATGTGTGAAATTGATAATCTTCAATGGTTGTGTCACTAAAGGGTTCACCAGTTACATTTAATAATTCCATTATACTAATACACGAAAACCAAGCTGCTTCAAAAATTCACGATTTTCTCTTGTTATACGATTATCCGTTGTTGTTGAGGAACTGGTTGGTCTTTGTTTCTGATGTTGCTTTTTATACTGTTTGTTGGTATTGTTTTTATTTCTGTTTTTGTTATTATAAGGGTGTCCAAACTGATAAAATTGTAACACCATTTCTATTCAACTTTTCTCAGATGTAATCGAATTGTAATAGTTTCGTTGCGAAAATTTACCAAATTACCGGCCTGATCAAGAACCCTTACAGTTATATTGTTGATTGTTTTAATGCTGACAGGAAAATACAATATGGTTAGTGGTTGCTCGACTATTTTATACCCGTTCGGAACCAGTGGAAAGAACTGGTGTATAAGATGAACCGGTTGTCCATGTAAAAATGATCCTGCAGCTATATTACAATCAATACATATGGTATTAATTTTTAATATATTAATTTTTTGTGTTGAGGTGTGTTGTCGGTTTGGTTCAAGTTTCACCTTATTACCAAATCCTAGTAAACCACCAATAGAATTATCAACACTGAAATTAATCCATTGACTACTTTTAATTGTGACAGTAGTTGTTTTTATGTCTGACGTTATGCGAGTAGTGACTCCAGACTCTAACATTTTTCTTTGTAAAATTTCTATTATTTCATTAATTTGATATCCACCCACTGGTATCTCAAATCTAAAGTTATCATGATCACCCCATACAAACACATTGTTTGTTTCATCCACATTTGGGATGCTATTAAATGTGTCAAAATTGGCTAATCCAATTTCATACTGTTCTTCGCTTTCCAAATAAATCGGTGGGTTAAAAGTGTCACTTAAAACTGAAGATTCTCCACTAAGTATAAACGTGAATGATATGATTAAAAGTTCGCATAGAAATGGTGTTTTATAGATTAATTGCAGAGGTTATATAAAAATTTTAAACAAAACTGTCCACACTGATATGAGTTAAATTTTTGCATTGCATCATAATTATACTTGATTTTTACTTCTCCGTTACTTTTAAACTACTTTATTACTTCAACTGGAGGGGACAAGTTTCCATAACTGTCATAATATGTAATATTTTTCTTATGTTTACAATATGCTGTCCAGTGTGTTCCAGATCCCTTTTGAGTGTCTAGATTGATAATACTAGTTTTCCATATAAATTTTGGTAAAGAATCACGCATGAACACACCACGAAAATGTGGAATTTTTAATATTTTTGCATATTTGTTAAGATCTTCATCAGTCATGATATGTCGCGGTAACTTTATCGGGAGTTTTTTTAATATGGTTTTAAAAAAAATCCCTTTCCTTTTTGACATTTTCCTTTTTTTGAACTCTTCTTCTTCTTCTTTTTAAAACCATACCCTTTGTATGGTCTTAAATAGTATCCTTTGCCAGATTTTTGTTCCATAGCTATGTTATGTCGATGTTGTTCCTCTAACTGTTCTCTATTGTTCTTTGCGTCATTAACCGCCTTTGCAATGCTCGCACCCCCACCCGCTACGGCCCCAAGGGCTCCCAATAAGGGCAACAAGAAGGGTAAAAATCCTCCCTTTTTTGGAGACGGAATAATTCGTAATTTTCGTTTTTTCTTTAATATTCTACCTTTTTTGTTAAAATTTTTTAGACCCATTCCTAGTTGACGTTTTCCCTTCATGGCAGTAGTTACAAACCAAGCGGCTACTTTCTCTCCTAATTTAGCGTCTTTTGCTTTTACTCTTTCCCAAGCTCTATTTTCTAATATTTCGTCAGCTCGATGTCTATCAGCGAGATCTTTACTATGAGAGTATGCTATATCGTGTTCTTTACAAGCACTATCCAATGGGTTAATTCCCCTATTCTAAATGGGATGGATCTATGGATTCTAAAAGAGGTTTGATTGTAGGCCCTAGCGGTTGTGGTAAAACCAACGTCATGTTGTCACTCTTAGAACATCCAAATGGTTTACGATTTCAAAATATTCACTTGTATGCGAAATCATTAAATCAACCCAAATACCAATACCTTAGAGTTTTGCTTAAACCTCTCACAGAAATTGCATACCATGAATATAGTAATAGTGAAGATGTACCACATCCTGAAAATATTGACACTAATTCTGTTATCATATTTGACGACGTTGCATCATGTGATCAAAATATAATAAAAGAGTACTTTTGTTTTGGACGACATAGACAAACAGATTGTTTTTATATTTGTCAGACATATTCTGCTGTGCCAAAACAACTTATTCGTGATAATGCGAATTTGTTAATTATTTTTCCTCAAGACGCTACTAATTTAAAACACATTTATGATGATCATGCAAACATTGACATGGATTTTCATTCTTTTAAGGAGATAGCATCATCTTGTTGGAAAAATAAATATGACTTTCTTGTTATCGATAAAGATTGTAGTTTATCTTCGGGAAGGTACAGAAAAGGCTTTGATACATACATCAATATATAAAAGGTGTATGTTTAGTATTTATTAGTCATGATGGATCCTTTATTAGCGAAACAACTCATACAAGCCAGGCAGGCGTTAAGAAAAAAGTATAAAAGTATTAAAGGAAATATTATAAAGTCTCAAACAGAATTGGAAAAAGCATACGAACCTGTAACTAGACCACTAAAAGCCCTCGTTGATAAATTAGAATACAATGATATTAAACAAGAAATGGTTTCACCAAAATCTGAAAAATCTAACACAACGCCAAGAATACGGCGATTTGATCAATTTGCATTCGTGACACCACAACGAGAACCACATTCATTACAACAATTTTTTGAAGAACCTCAGTTTAATAGTACACGAATGGAACAACCAAATATTCCTATGCATGAACAAACTTATGAGTCGAGAAATGACGAAGGAGATCTACCAGATCGAACAAGAGAAGACCAATTTATTGATGATAATATTTCTCAATTTTATCAAACAATTACTAACCCACAAGTTTTACGAGAATATTTTGAGCAATTTAAATCACCTCTACCTCGAGAATTCATTGAAGGTATGGTAAGGGATACTGAGGGTAAATATGATCATATTTTAGGCATTTTTCATAATCCCATCGAAGATAAATTTTTTATTGGAGATTCCGAAGTGAAATTTAAAGGGTCTAATTTTCTGGTAAAGGGTATTCGTTATCCGGAAAATGTTGGACTTTACGAATTAATGTTTTTAAAAATTCCAATTAGTTATACAAAAGAAGACACTGCAAATTATGCAGATATTATTAATAGGACTAACGCACATCGTCGAGATAATAAAAGTGATTTGCCTGTTAGAAAATTCCCTTCTGATATTAAAGATAAATATCATTTCATTATAAAACCTCTTTTGGAAGATCGAACTCGTCCCAGATCTGGTTCAATTCCTTCATCTTTGTTATTAAAAAGAAATGTACTTACAAGAAACATGAAAAAAACACAAGGAAAAGGTTTAACAATGATGGATTATAACAATAAGCACATCGATTACAAGTATTTTGATTCCTACAATGAGTTGGTGGAAAGATTAAAACTACTCATTGCTTCCCAGAGAGGGGGAAATTCTGGTCTTAATAATGAGATTATTTCTATTATAGAAGAACTACGTGAAGGTAATATCATTTTATAAATAAAGCTGTTTGTATTCTCCCATTTTAGTATTAACTATGCCGTTAAATAAATTTAATCAACACTATCTGACCAACGACTCTAATTCAGATGATACTGTTTTAACTTCAACACCATTGCTTTCAACACCATTGCCCACAACGCCATTTTATATTTGTCAACCTGATAAATATCATAGTAAATGCATTGTAACTGTACGTGGAAGTAAAAATATGACCCTTAGTAAGACTCACTACATTTTAGACAATAATACTACATCATACATAATACCTGTTACTGGAAAAGTTGAGAGTATTCAGTCTTTTCCTAGTACATTACAAATTCATTATAAAAACCGAGATAATTCTATTCATCAGCTTGTACATGATAATATTGTGACTAAAGGTGACAATATGCAATTTCTTCTTGGAACCAAAAAGTCTACATCAGACAAACTATACGTGGAATTTGTTATTCAATGTCCTTTGAGTAAGGATTCCTTATAAATATGATATGTTTTGTTGTTCTCAACATTTTAAATTATGCCTTTGAATCGTTTCAATCAACATTTTCTACGCGCTCCTACTAAGACTCTTCCTTCAGAGGAACTTGTGTCAGCAACAGAAAATAATCAATCCTTAAATTATGCATTCTACATTTGTGATTCTTTTGACTATCATGTTAAAATTATACTTCGTTTGAAGGGTGACAAGAAAACTAATTTGAACAAAGATTTTTATGTTTTAGATAATGGTGGTATAGCATATAAATTTCTTCTAACAGGAAAAATTGATAGCGTAGCGCATTATTCTGCTGACGGTGAAGTTTTAATTAACAATTCATCTTACAAATTCCATCAATTAGCTGGCAAAATGATTAACAAAGGTGATAAAATAGTATTTAAACTGGGTACTCCTTCCTCGATTTGTATTGATATGGTTTTACAGTGTCCATTAGTGAAAAATGAGTAAAGCACAAGTTGTAGCCGAACTTCATAAACCAGCACGAATTAATTATAGAAGGCGCCATGTTGTGGTTAAAAATCTTCATGATTTACTGCAAAGTGATTTAGCTATAATGTCTCAATTTTCAAAAGAAAATCGAGGGTACAATTATATTCTCATTGTAATTAACGCTTTCAGTAAATTTGTTTGGGCAGTACCAGTAAAGCGAAAAACCGGTCATGATATTAGTAATGCAATGAAAACGATATTAGGTCAAATGAGAATTGTACCAAAAAATTTACAAACCGATATGGGAAAAGAATTTTACAATAAACAATTCCAAGATCTCATGCAACATTATGGAATTAATCACTATAGTACATTTACAAATGTAAAAGCTAGTATGGCAGAAAGGGTAATTAGAACACTAGTCATTACTCTGGAAACAGTTTAGCTTAGAAGGTTCACATAAATGGTTAAATATTCTTCCAAAAATTGTAGAAACATATAATAACACTAAACATTCAACAACAGGGGCAGTTCCAAGTAAAATCAATGATAAAACTGCAAAATCCATTACCGTCTTTCAACAAATTAAAACAGTAGATCCAAAAAAACCAAAATTTAAAAAAGACAATTATGTTCGGATTATTCGAGCTCGTCATACATTTAACAAAGCTTATACACCGAACTGGACGACTGAAGTTTTCAAAATTAAAAAAGTTAAGCTGACCAATCCAATCACATACATTTTAGAAGATTCTAAAAATGAGGAAATTCAGGGTGGGTTTTATACAGAGGAGTTACAAAAGGTAAGAGACCCCAACGTGTTCCTTGTGGAAAAAGTTCTTCGCAAAAAAGGAAATAAATTGTATGTTCAATGGTTGGGTCTAAAGGATCGATCATGGATATTAAAAAAAGATTTATTATAAAATGTATAATTTTAATTTTTAAAATAAAAAATTTTTAACTCTTTTTGTATTTTTTATTTCCATTATTTTTTAAAATTAGTGTAATAGGGATTGTATGTTTTTATAATAATAAACAAGTAAATACACAAAATGTTTTATTTGTTGATAAACCTTATTTCTATGATTAGTATCTAAAACAGGATTAATATAAATAGCAGATTCTTGAATGCGACGTCTGAACCGGTCTCGATCAAGGGCAGCCTGTTGCCATGTACTGCAGCTTGCTGCTTGGTATGCATAGTTCCACGTGTATAGAATGTGCACTTGTGGTTTACAAAATCGTACTTTTTTCATGATTTGTTTCTTCTATGAGCAGCTCAGGATAATTGTAAATTACTTCCAATCCAAAAGTGTACATCTCAGGGTTCAGTCTTTTTATAGTTTCTAACAGAGACAGTGATGTCTCAATTATTTCATTTGTTTTTATTCCCGCACGCAAAAGATTTATAACTACACCAAATCCTTGATGTTGTAGAAGCTCTAATCTGTATTGAATAATTGGAATTAAATGCCACAATTTTGATATTGATTTAAAGACCAACCGAACACTAGAGTCACCAGTATAAATTCTTACAACACTAGTATGTGTAAGCTGTTTTACTTCAACACCAAATCCTCCTATGTCTATTAAGTCTTTAACGTCAGATGTAACTAGTAAACTGTTAATTATCTCTTTGTTTGTTACAAAATCATTCCAATCCTTTTCAGAAAAAACCACCATATCATTTTTATTTCCAGATATGATTACACATGGGTTGTAATTTAATTGAAATGATAAGCAGACTGATACATACTTTGATTTTTTTGGATTTAAGTAAAACCGCCGTTCACATAAAAACACATCTTTTTGCATTTCTGAAGTACACATTACTAACAATTTATCTCAACTATTTCTTTCTCGTTTTTTGTTTCACAATATTAAGGTTTCCAACATGATTCAAGGTTAAATGAAAGGCATGTTGTTTATTTATCTTTATTTAAGTCTTTCTATACATGCATACGTTGGCCTTGCCTTATTTATCGTATTTGCAAATATCAAAATAGATACAATAATAATTAAAGTCAAAACTATACAAGTCAATAAATATAATTTAGAAAATTCCTCCTGTCCGCTAATGATACTTGTAGTGGAAGGCTCCAAGAAAACTGTTTGCCATGTATTTTGATCACTTTCAGAATTATCGGAAAATATTATTTTTAACTTATAATTAAAAAAAGTTAAATTTGTTTTTGGAATATCTGTTTGAAATACTGAGAGATGTCCATTATTTTCTTGGGAAGTACTTAACATTTTCCAGGATGTACGATTACACTCTTGTTTTGTATTGTTCATATCAAAACAAACTGCTACATAATGGGCACTATATGGTACGTTTGTGTACAATATGTTGTTGACTATTGCAACCAAAATAATATAATTTGTTTTTAATAAACACATTTTTAATTGCTAATTGAAACTGTGCACTCTCTTTAACAGCTCATTCAACACTGACTACCTTCCTATTGAATTAACCTATTAAAATAAAACACATTAATAAATAAACAATTTTTTATTTATTATTATTATTTATTTCTTGGTGTCGTTTTACTTCATTTTGTCGAAATCTTTTTTTAAACTTTTTATTTTTGGACACCGGAATAGTTAAAATAATGTTTCGATTTAAATTTGGTTTATACGTTGGATAATCTTCTTCGTTGTCCCAATTTTCCTCCTCCTGTGGGCTTCTTTCTGGAACGGTTTTCTGTGAAAAAAAAAACAACATCAAAATTTGTGAAATATATATATATATATATATATATATATATATATATATATATATATATTATTTGTTTAGGTTATTATTGAACTCAAATACTTACCAAATTTAGTTTTTTAATGATAAATTAAGACTTGAGGAACCAAAACCCCTGTCTCCTCTCTCAGTGTAACTAAGAGCATTTACTTCTTCAATTTTGGGAATTGTACATTTTTCAAAAATAAGCTGTGCAATTTTGTCACCTCGACTAAAATAAACTTCTTCACTTGAGGTATTATATAATAAAACTTTAACTGTTCCTCTGTAATCAAGATCTATCACTCCAGCCATAACATCAATCCCTTTATTAAGAGCCAATCCTGACCTAGGGGCAATTCTACAATAGACCCCTTGCGAGAATTCCATTTTTAATAATATGTCAACCAAAAATCTAGACTGTGGCTGAATAGTAAAACTGCTAGGAGTTTTAACATCAAAACCCACAGAATAAGGTGTGGCTCTTGTAGGAATAAAGGCACTTGCATCAATTCTCATCAATTTTAAAACCTCAAATATTAATAATAATAAAAATAATATATTAAAACATAAATATAAGAAAGAAAAAACTTACCATTTGTTCAATATCAGCCATGTTGTTGTCGTATGTTTGTATGTTACTGAGAGTGAATTAGGAATGGTATCTTTCATGTATTTATACCAGTATTTCCTTTCACTTTCAATACAACTTTCATGATTTCATTATAATTTTTTACAAAATACAGGCATTTCATTCCGAACAATAAAAATTTTAATCTAAAAATTAAAGATAATTCTGCTGGACTATGAGAAATTCCAAACAAGCATTTGCATACATCGCTAATGCAGAGAGAACCATAATTAAGAACGGAATGTTGTTATGTAATTGATTCAGACTTCATTCTCGGTAAATAGCTCCGGGCAAACATGTAATTATTAGTAGGTTACCGGAATGAAGTATCAAGGCACAGTTATTTGAATAAATTCACTTTCAAACCAGAGGCGATTATAGATCTTATACAAACGTTTTTAATAAACAAAATATTAGTAGAGTATGGGCCGCTTGGGGCACCCCCCACCACTCCCACTCTGACGTCACACGGTTGCAAATGCCAAACGGCTTAACGTAGGATGACGTACGAGGGCTCATTGGAAAGAGGATGAAAAATGGGGTTGAATGAAATATGTGCCGTGCGCATCGGAGCATGCCAAAAGGTCGTTACATCATATCTTTGTTTCTATTGGTCCGATTGTAACGTACGAGGGGTCGTTGGAACGGGAAGGAGGTAACGAATACGTTGAGACAAAAAACAAAGATGGCGGCGTTGCCAAAGGGGACGCTAAAACGTATCTTCGTTGCTATTGGTTCGATCGTGACGTACGAGGCCTCGATGGAACGGGGAGAAGGTGGGGAGACAAAAAAAAAAAACAAAGATGGCGGCGTTGCCAAATGAGCGCTAAAACGTGCCTTCGTTGCTATTGGTCTGATTTTGACGTATGAGGTGTCAAAGCGTTGGTGACACACAGAAGCCATGTACAAGCTCGAACATTCTTCTTCTTGTACATACAGTGCCTAAGAGAACGTCGACACAGAACGTGGTAGAACGTGAAATGTTGCTTGAATAACGTGACATTCGACATGTATTTGCGACACAAAACAAACATGCATTTACTGTTCATCGTAGCAGGAAGAACAGGGTGATAGAGCTCAACGTATAATAATGTGTGACATATTGATGGGAAGGGGATGTGGTAACGATTATGTTAAGATAAAAAGTAAGCGGTAAGACAATGCCAAAACAGACGGTTGTGTGTGAGG